CTCTCTCTCTCTCTCTCTCTGTGTATGTGTGTGTATTTTCTGCCTCTATACATTATATACTTGCTATATCATATATCATAAGAGATCATGTTGCGTCGAGTTTGATAGTGAAAATGATAAATGTTTCGAATTTAGGATTAAGCTTGCTATACTCGCTTTTCATACTTACTTCTAACATTTATTTATATTTTCAAATTGACACACTGTAAAATATTAAAAATATATTTTATATTTTTATTCCAAACGCGATACGTATAAAAAAAAAATGAGTATATTTAATATATAATATAATGAATAATTATTGATAACTTAATTCAATAAATATATTGTATAAAAAAAAAATTCGTGTTTAATTACCACGAATTAATTTTATAATTGAATACTTTGATTTATTATCCCCGATTTATTGGAATTTCAATTATTCGCGTGTGTATAGTTATTCAGTTAATTTTTTATAACAGAATAAAAATATTTGATAGAATTTATTTATTGATACAATATCACAATTCGAATATAATTTTTTCTTATAATATAAATATATTAATTATGTATATATAAAAAAAAGTTGAAATAATTGTTTATAAATTATATTATCATCATCTCGATGGTCGTATAAAAAAATTAGTTAACCGTAAGATAAGATAATATATAATAAAATGACGACGAGAGAAATTTCGGATGAGTTTCGCGAGTCGATTGGTCGGTTCTTCGTGCATTTAAGCGATTTCACGAGATGACACGTAGATTCCTCTGGAATATCGGCAAACAATAGTACGGCTAATGGCGATGACACGAACGCGTCATCTCGAGAACTTATGCCGTATCCGGCAACGCACTGAGACAGGACAGGACAATGTGAAATCTCCATGGTAACGTTTTACCGTCCAGTGAAGTCGAATCACACCAAATTCCCATCTCTACAAATCTCCTCTTCTATATCGATCTAACTAAATTTCTATCTATTATATTTTACAATGTAACTCTAGCTTTCTATCTCTCTCTCTCCCTCCTTCTCTTTCGAAATTATAAAGAGTTATACATATATGTCATATATTTTCTATTAAATCAATATTTTATTTAATCAATTCTTTTCGATAAATTAATTATATTTTTATATTTAAAGAAAATAAATTTAATATATCTCCATTTTGTAAATTTATTATTATTAATGTATTTACTATAATTAATAATAGTAAAAATACATTCTCTCTACACCGAGAGATAAAGTATTTATTATATTATAATTTTAATATAATAAAAAAGCTATATATATTCTCGATTAAATATTTCTCATTTTATCTTTGAAATACTATTATTATATTGACCTTTAATAACTTAATTAAAAATTCGATTAAAATATATAAATTTAAAGTTTTTCATTAAATGAATTATATAAACTTCGTTTATAAATATGAAATTAAATATCATCAATTTTAATAATATAACAAACCGAGTATATAATAATAAATATTCTCGATTATTATATTATATTTCCCCATTATCTCCTTTTGAGATATTCTCATTAGATATAACTATACTTCTCTAGCCTGTACTTTCGTCATTTGCCCTTTTAAAAGGACGAAAGCGAAGAAAATAAAAGAGGCAGCAGATTTAAATGACATTTTCTCGTTCATCAGGAAAATTCTATCTTGGGTATTTCAGTGAAAGAAAAAGATAGACAATGATAAAAGATTGAAGATAGAAGATAGAAGAAAGGATGGAACGTTGGTGAGAAGTTACAGAGGAGGAGAAAGAGGAAAGGGAGGAAAAGTTAGCGGTGTGGGGGTGGGTGGGTGGGGGGAACGTGGAAGAAGAGTTGAAAGCGTCCGAGTACCCTCCTTCTTTAATCTCGAGATTTAATTCCGCGTTAGGACGGAATTGGTACACTGCTCGAAGAAGTAGGCAATAAACGTTCGCTATCCTTTCTTTTTCTTCTTCTTCTTCTTCTTCTTTTCTTTTTTTTTTCTTTTTTTTTTTTTTTTAACTCTTTCCCAACCTCCAAAAAGAAATCGTTAACGCGGTAGTTAGGATTTTCTAAGTATCGAAATGAAAAGTTATTTATTGGTACTTCAATTCGATAATACTCGATTGAAAAAAAAAGAAGAAAAATTATCTCTGATACCTATTTTTTTATAATTATTATTATTATTACCTTTTTTTTTGCGCATTCATTTATTATTAATTTTTACGTTTAACAGCGTACGTTTTACTTAAGCCAATTCTTCTTTTTCTTTGTCGTTAATTTTTAAATAGAAATTAAAAAGTGATAACGAGAAAAAAGAAGAAAAAGAACAAAAAAATAAGAAAAATTAATGCAAAGCGAAAAAGTGAGGATGCGGAGAGGGAAAAGGCGAATTTTTTTGTTTTGTCGTAAAAAAAATGTTCGATCGACGATAAAAACTCTCTCGCAGTTTTGGTTTGAATCGTTCAACGTGTGCGTTGGCCTGCGTGTGTACTTTTTATAATATGTATTTTAGCGTTTACTATACCGAAAACTTCAACTTCATTAACACACTTTTTTTCATATAACCATGCGAAATTCTACTTAACCGAACGAATTGCGTAGCTACCTCATTACTAACTCTCGAACAAAAAAAAAAGGAAAATAAAGAAAGGGGGAGCAAAAAAAAAAGAGTATGAAAAAAAAATATTAAACAAAAATAAAGGTCTCTCGCAAAATGGTTCCCAATCGTTAAAAAGCAAAATTTTGCTTTCTCGCGTTTACACAAAACTAATTTAACGCGCTCGTTAACTCGATTACATGGCCGACGATTTTAAGATCGTTGAATTCGAATTTATTCTTTTTTTTTTTTCGTTTTTCTTCCCAAAGTAAACCTAAATTTGCTTTATTTTTATCCAATTTTTCTTTCCCTTTGCGCTTATTTATTTTGTTATTTTCATGTTTTTTTTTTTTTTTTTTTTTTTTTTAAGTAATTCGATAGAGCACAAATTTAATTTTTTTCATAGAAAAATTGCGGATGGAAAAAATTTCTAATAAAAAAACCGGGTAAAAAGAATTTTCAATATAAAACGCGCGTAGTAAAATATTTCTTAATTACTTTCCCTGTAAATTTTGCTAACTGGTTTATATTTTATTTAAAGCAACGGATTAGGTAATTTCCTCCTCCTTCTTCTTTTTTTTTCTTCTTATTTTCTTTTCGAAATTGAAAAAATTCAATCAAATTACAACCGTAAATAATATTTATTTAACCTGAATTTTTTTTCTAAACGCTTACGTATACGAAATGAATATGGTTCGTATTAAAATTATAAAAGAGATAAAAAAAAAAAAGAAAAAAACAAAAAATAAAAAAAAAACAAAAAGAAATACATTTAAAATTTCTTTATCCGTCCTTTTAAATTAATAATAAAACGTTACGTTTGATTGTTCTAATTAAATTTACAATTGGTATACATCGTCGTATAGATCAATTTCAATATCGGATATTATTATTATCGTGTAAAAAAAAAAAAAAAAAAAAAAACTAACCAGCCATATGACACGGATGTTTTTACTTACACACATGATATTCGAATCAAAAGAAAAAATATGTTCTGGCTAACTAGCAGAAAAAAAAAAAAAAAAATAAAAGAAATCGAGTATATATAAAATAATAATTAATTCGTTATATTTTAATCGAAAAGGAGGTGACGCGCTTAGAGTTAATTGCATTAAAAAAAAATTAAAAAGAAAGAAAAAAAAAAAAAAGGACTTTATAGCATGACACGGTTAAAAATAGTTTCGGTCAGGATCGATGCTCGACAGAGTATAACTGCTATTCTAAAGATATCGGCCGATAAAACTAAGTTTCCAGTCCATTAGCCGTTCCTTTGCTTCATCGATTTTAAATAGAGGAGGAAGTATCTCGGCAGTCGAGTAAATCGATAGGATGCGCGTATATCCGCCATCGTAGCTCGGATATTTCATTTAATTATTGACCCTCCTCCCACCCCCCCAACCTCCTTCACCCTCCTCCCACCCAATCACCCCACTTCATGCTCACCCTCGAGTATCCGATCGCGAATATCGTAAAGATACTTTTTTTTTCCTTTTTTTTTTTCTTCCTAACAATTTGTACGAACAGTATTTTCCAATTGCACGTAACAATATTATTATTACCTTGTATTATTATTATTGGCTATGATTATTATCGAGATCCGTTTTGTATTAAAAATAAAAATAACAAAAAAGAAAAAAAAGCAATTGTAATATTAAAAAAATTTATTCGTTTAAAATAATAAAATTATTGGTCTTGATATATATATGAATTTTTTTGTGTATGCGATAAATATTAAACAGTTAATTATAATAAAAATAATTCACGTTAATTAAAAATGCTAAAATGAAAGAGTGATACGTTTACTTTATTATTATTATTATTATTATTAACCTTATTTGACAAATACTAAGAACTTTAATTACATTGACAAAATATTTTTCACGTTAATTAAAATATATATATAATATTTATATATTATTTACATTTTGAGATATGTTACGTTGAATGAAATATTAGTTGATCTCGTTCTTTCTAATAATCAAAAAAGAATAATGATAAAGGATATATAAAGTGTGTATAAAAATATTTTGATTGCAGGTGTCATGGGTTAGACATCGAGACGTACACTTATTAACAGTCGGTCGTTACACTTATACGAGCGATCAACGATTCGAAGCTCAACACTATCCACATACCGAAGATTGGACTTTAAAAATACGATATCCACAACGTAAAGATACCGGGATTTACGAGTGCCAAATCTCAACGACACCACCTGTAGGACGCACTGTACATCTGACGATAGTCGGTGAGTGAATGACAAACATATCGATCTGTTATTTTATTTTCTCTTCTTCATTGTGTTTCCTCTTTTATTTTTAACTATTCGCAGAAAAACTATGTGGTCGATGTGACAACAAAAATATTTTTATATTATTTTCATTACAATTCCTTTACTATCGTTTTGATATTACATTTTTCATTTCATTTTATTTCATCTCATGTGGAAAACTATAATTTAACTATCAATATTGCATTTTATCCAAATTTGTAAGTCTAATTTTACGTAAAACAATTAATATCAAGTCACATATTTGTAGTCAAAGTTATGTCAAGATTGTTGCGATATTGCAAAACTACATCGTAAAGTTTCCTCAAAGTTGCGTCTGGTTTATATCAAAGTAACGTCAAGATTGCGTAAATGTTACGCGCGATCATTTTATAATGAATAAATATATATATATATGAAAATTTGTTTTCATCCTATACTGATAAATGTAATTTTTTATAATACATCCTATACGAAACGCCAAATTTTAAAATAGATCTCACAAACGATGGATGTGTCGCACGAATTTTATTTTGAAAAAATAACTATTATATCGTGCATATGTGTAATTAAGTAAGATTTATTTAAATATCAGATAGGAGTTGACGTAAATTTTAATTTGAAAAAATATCATTTTCATCGGGTATATATATTCGAGTATATATACATGTACGAGTATCTGTAGTAAAGATCAGATCGGAGTTTGACCTAAATAAAATGAAATTATAGTGCAAAGGGTTAGAGAGTTAATAGCAAGCAAAATCTGATCTATCGTAAATTTCATTTTCAGAACCAGTTACTATCATAGTCGGTCAGCCAGACCTTTTCGTTAACAAAGGAAGTACGATCAATTTAACGTGCATCGTAAGATATGCACCGGAACCACCCCCGATGATGGTCTGGAGCCACAATACCGAAGTAAGTCTTTCATAATGTATTACATGTTCTAAATCTAAACTACCAGTTATATATTTTCGTAATATTTTCGATCTTTTATATAAATAAATAACAAAATAATTTTCTCTAAAAATATTTGAAGTATATAATTATATTCATATTTTTATCGCAAATTCTTATTTTTTTTTTCTAATAAAACTCTATGAGAAACACGCAAATGATTAACTAAATGAAAATCAATAAATAAACGTTTTGATATAATTTGATACGCGAATTTGATTATATTTATTTTAATATTTACTCAAACGACAAAAAATGTATTCCTCTTTTTTTTTTCGTACTTATTTTTTACAACGAATATACTAAATCTCTAAATTAAATTGACTAATCGCAAAATAATATACTGAAAGAATATTTGATATATAATTTCTCTTACGAAAATTAATAATAATTATTATTTTGTTCGTTATTATCATTTCAAAATTTATTCACGCGTGTCGAATAGAAAAAAATATTACTCTACTTGTATTGACTTATTTTCACACGTGCCAGATTTTTTCTCATTACTCAAAGAATAAAATATCCTTTATATGAAAGGATTGAAATAATAGAAATTTGTCATTTGCGAAATTATTAGGGGTCGATATCAGCAAGTAAATAGTAGGTCATCATTGCAAAGCAAAGTAACGCTAAAAGTCTAACAACAAATAGGACTTCTCACTCTAATTTCTGAAGTAAAGGAAGTCAAGAAGAAAAAAGAATGAAAGAATGAAAGAAAGAAAGAGAGAGAAAGGAAAGGGAAAGAAGTAGTAAAAGAAAGAAAAAAAAAAAAGTAATGCTACAGACATTGCATATTTCACCGGCGAATCTACTATTGTAAAAATCTTCAAAGGAAATATGCGAAAAGTGTGTCGTGTATACATGTAAAATATATAGTATATATATATAGGTATAAATATATATGTATATACTATGTATATAGTTTTCACAACGTCTCACGAAGCTTGAAAAGACTTGAAGAAAGCTACCTTTTATTTTCTATCAAAGCATCGTCGTCGTCATCGTCGACATTGTTGAATGGAAAGAATTCTCTAACTTTAACATAGAAAGAAGGAAATTAAAAATATTATTTCTTTTTTCTTCCATTTCAAAAGAAATTTACGAAAGAATACAGAAATATATATATTATAGGTATATACATTTACACGCACGTACACATACACATACATAATAGTGTATATATGTATCTATAGACATACACAAAATATACATAATAAGATGGGAAGTTTCTAAAGCTTGGGTAAATTTATTAGAAAATTAACGAGATACTTTACTCTCCTTATATATACTGTAATAAATAAGAAAACTTAGTAACTTTTAATTAGAGGAATAGTCGATGATCACTCGCTTGATAAATTAAATTCTGTTTACAAGCGTAACATTGAAAACTTATGATAGATACAAAAATTCATCAAATTTTATCATATTCCATATATTTTGCGCGAGAATAATATTATTCTCGCGCAAATTAAATACGAAAGAAAAAAAAAAAAAAAAAAAAAAAAAAAAAGCAAACATAAATCTATCTTTTTTTTTTTTTCGTAAATTTTGTTACAATTAAATCATACGTGAAACGTATTTTATTCATATATTG